CCTCTGTGAGTTGCATACTAAAATCTTCTTCATTTTTCCCAATACCTGGAATTTCCTGTATATTCTAATCATCTTAATGACCTCTGATTCTTTTCAGTGGTTTTTTTTTTTTTTGTATTGAGACAGATGAAACAGCCTTATTGGTTTTAGTATTGGCAGGTCTGGTTTTTTTCTTAGCAAGGTGGTTTACTTATTATCTACATGTAAACTTATTATTATTTATGGTATATTGTTCCCCAATTACTTTGACTACCTGTCATTCACTTCTTAGTCAATGCTCCATATATGAACAATTTTGAATCTCTTTCTATCGGAATATAACAATCTCAGAAAGCTGTCTTTTTAATTTTGATGACACACTTTCTCCCCATTCCTAGCTTTTACAATGATCCTTTTTGAAACATCCATGAGGATAGGTAGGCTTACTTGGGAAATGCTTGGCTTAACCTGGGAATGGATTATTACTTTTAGTGCTATAAACCTACATTGCTTCAAGCTTCACAGCCACAGGCCAGATTTGTGGCTCAAGGCATGGATGCCTGTCTGAATTAAAACAATGTTTGTGAGGCCGCTGAAGAGCTTAGACCTCAGACATTGAAATTCCTGGGACGAGAAGGAGGAGGAAGAAAGGATAAAATTGTGTTTCAAAGGCTGTTTTTTCACTTCTAGTGTGCCAGAAGTATGGTAGACTACACATGTCTTCAAGTGTCATTTAATTCCAGAACAACTCTCTCCAGTGCCAGACACCAGGACAAATTACCCAAAACTTTAGATCCTAATGCATCAGCTTTAATTCTAGTGAGCGGTAGGCCTTAATTCCAGTCCAATTAGCAAATCCACAAAGCAATCTTGCCACTGTGTGAATGGCAAGAAGAATTTGTTTGTGAACAGATGAATATGTCCCACTCAATCATGACCAAAATTTGCCTTGACTTGGAAGCAAGTAGACAAGGAGCAATGCAGTATTTGTGTTTCATGCAGTGATAAATGGGGCAAGAAGCATTAACAACTTACCTGTTTTACAGAACATAAATACTGACGCAGCCAAAAATGCGCCTACATGAGAGGATCTTCAGGACATTCCTTTATTTCTTAACTAGGAATGGGCAGCAAAACGCTGGCATTTATCTGAAATGGAAGCAGTGTTCCTCCCCTGTTTCTCCTTGAGCACACTGTCTGTTGTTTGCAGACTTCACTGCCCAGCCCATGAATCCTCTCAGGGCCAATTGCTAAATGACAGAGCTAGCAAAATGCAGGCACCACATAATCACCCCAGCACTAATCCAGCACTGCTTATGGTGCCCAGGAGCACAGAATGGCTTGGCTTGGAAGGGACATTGAAAGGCCATCTAGTCCAATGCCCTGCAGTGAGCAGGAACACCTTTAAGTAGGTCAGGTTGCTGAGAGCATGAGTTTGAATGTCTGCAGGGATGGATGTCCCACTCTCTGGGCAACCTGTGCCAGGCCTTCCAGACCTAGTGTAAAAAATGGGTTTCTTTTGTCCAGTCTGGATCGACCATCTTTTAGATTAAAAGCATTCCCCCTAGGTCGGCTCACAAAAGGCTCTAGTAAAAGTCCTGTCCCATCTCTTTTACAAGACCCCTTAAGGTACTGAAAGGCAGCAATCAAGTCTCCCTGGAGTCTGCTCCCTTTCAGGCTGAACATTGCCAGCTCTCCCAGCCTGTCTCCAAAGCAGAAGGGCTCCAGCCCTCAGAGCATTTTGTCCCTCCTCTAGACTAGACCCAACAGGACCATGGCCTTCCTGTGTGGGGAGCCCAGAGCTGGATGCAGTACTCTGTCATGGTACAGACAGAGACAGCACAAAGCAACAGACTCCGTTTCCAGAAGGCTTCAAACCCTGTTTTTGTTCTAGCATGCATGCTTGTTTTACATTATTACAAAGCTCATAATTTACATTTTACTCACTGGTCACGAGAGAAAAGCAAAATACTTCTTGGAGTAGGCAGTTGCAGATTTATCTTATTTATCCTTCTTCCTTTCTTGGTTTCTGTGTCAACAACCTTGGTAGGAAATTCTTTCAGGGGTAAACATGGATCCTCTTATCAAAGTTCTCAGTGGCTCACAGAGGTCACTGTAAAACCTCTTCCACAGTACTCCAGGTGGGGTCTCACCAGAGCAGAGGGGTGGAATCACCTCCTTCAAGCTGCTGGGCACTCTCCTTTGGATGCACATGGCTGGCTCATGTGCAGCCTCTCATCTTGCAGCACCCCCAAGTCCTTCTTGGCAGGGCTGCTCTCCATCCCTTCATGGCCCAGCCTGGGAGATCAGCTGGGCTGGGACTGTGTCACAGCCCTTGGACAGAGCAGCTGGGCAGGACGAGCTCCCTGCCAAAGAAGGCAGATCCCACTCCCCACACAACTCCACCCTGGCCATGAGGTCACAGCAGGCTCTGAGGTCACAGAGGTGCCAGAGCCCCGTGGTTGCACAGCAGCACAAGGAGCGAGCAGTCAGTGCTTGAGCACAACTGTTGCGGCAGCAGCAGCGGCGGTGGCAGCAGTGGTGCTGACATTGGGACAGCGGTGTCAGGACAGCGGTGGCAGCAAGAGCTGCGGGACTGGCAGAGGGCAAGGCAGCATGGCCCTTGCTCTGCGCCTCTTCCTCCTGCTCCTCCTGGCCGTGGCCCTGCCTGCCAGGGCTGCCCAGGCTGCTCCGCTGCAAGCGCGGGGAGCAGGTGAGCCGGCAGCCTGGCTCCCCTTTCCCGGGACAGCGCTCCCTGCTCCCCGGGAAGCGCTGGGGATGGTTTTCTGCAGGCCTTTAAGGGAGGGTTTCCTCTGGGGGAGGGAGAGAGCCCCCAGGGCCCTGGGCTGGCTTGGTTTCCTCTCCTGGGATGTGTCACAGGGCCTGCAAAGAGGGTGGAGAGTGACCAGGAGCCAGCCCAGAGCTCCCCAGGCCCCTGTGCAGCTCTGGCCTTGTGCATTCACATCTGGCTCCCACAGCCTTACATGACCCCCTTCCAGTAGCCATTTACTATAGGCAGTGGGGGATCCCAGGACACGATGGAAATGTTCTGGTCTTTGCTCTCTTCTAGACTGGAACGATAAGATGGCTTATATGGAAAAGCTGGTGAACGACAGTATGAAGACTCTCGGGCATGGTGCAGGCAAGTTCTCGGTGTTCCTTACCTGAAAAATAATCAGTATCCATGTGGCAACGGCTCAGTCATGAGCCCTGTCCCTGAACATAATCTCAGGGTTTAAAGAAGCTGGAAATCTTGCCCTGCTCCCTTCTGTGGTCCCACAGGATCGCTGTCAGTGGGAGGAAGGATTATTTATCTGTCCATTTCCCTCCCATGTGCAATGCCACTGTGTCCTTCTGTGTGCTCTGTGCAGCCACGGAGAAGAGCAGAGAGGGAAGGGGCCGGGCCCAGGGCTGTTCCCCGGGGCTGAGCCTTTCTCAGCTCCTTTGGCGGCCCCAGGGAGCCTGAGCTGCTCCTGCTGCCACCGCCAAGCCCTGGCCCTGCCTGGGGCTGGGTTTGGAGCTGCAGCAGCTCCAGGGAGTCCTTTCTGCCCCGACTGCCCTGCAAGGGGCTCCTTCCATCCCAGTGTGGGACCACTGCAGGCACGAGGTGACCCCTGGCCCTGCTCCTGAGTGAAAGGCAGAGCTGAGGGAGTGCCTTGGAGGGCACCAATCACCCAGGTGCCCTCACTGCCACTCGGGCCTGAAGGAGAAATGGAACTTTCCGTTAAGGTCCTCCTAAATGGAAGAACCAAGACATAGGAGACACGAAATCCCTGGAGGCAGCCAAACATCTGGACCAGATGCTGAATGACCTGGAGAGACGCCGTGGTGGGTACATTCCCTCAGTCTTATCCTGGGGCTCAGCAGCCGGGGGCTTTGGCTGCACATCAGGACATGCTGTGCCCAGCACAGCAGGAAGGGATCCATGGCAGCCTCGCTGCCCCGCTGCTGCTTCCACGCCCTGCAGGGCTGTTTGCCAGCCTGGCCTGGCTGCAGCTTCTCCCCAGCCTCTGCAGGAAGGCATTTGGCATCGGTTCACAGGCAGCCCAAACTGCACCACAGGCCATACATGCCCTGAGATCCCCTGCAATTTCCTAATCTCCAGTCAGATCAGGTGTAGGGGCTTTTTTGGTCAGGGAGGGCCCTGGCCCAGCCCCAATAACCTGGCTGTTTTCCTGATCCTTATCCATGACTTGACAAGTATTGTCTCCTGAAGTTGCCACCTCCTGCAATGGTTCTATTGGATCCAGCTGTGCTTTTTCCTTTCTCAAGCAATGGAGCAAAAGTCCATGCAGATGGGGTCATATCCTGTAGGAAGCAATGGCTTTGTGCCAGCCACTGATGCAGGAAAGGAGGAGATGCCAGACATGGGCAAAGGTACAGGAGATAATTGCTCCGCGAGGCTCAGCCCTTGGCGGGGCTGTGTGGCAGCAGCTCTTCCCCCAGGGCCTGCCCTTGCCCGGCCCGGCAGCAGCCAAAGGTGGAGGAGCCTCTGGAGGCTTGGAGGCCTCTGGAGCTCATTCACAGCTCCAGGGAAAGGGAACCCGTGCACCAACGTCCCTCCCGCTGCAGCTGCTCCGGAGCTGGCCCTGAGTGCCCAGAGGCCCAAGGCACAGGAGCAGCCCCGAGCGGGAGCCCTGCTGTGAGCCCAGGGCCAGAGCCAGCCTTGGCTCCCGACTGGGCAGGGGCTGCACTGGGTCCTGACAGGGCCTGACTCTGTGCCCTGGGGCTGGGGGAGCTGTCACAGGGCAGGGAGGGCCAGGGCTGGCAGTGGCTGCTCAGGGATGGCTTTGGCCCGTGTCCCTCCAAGCAGCCACTGCCCAAGCAGCTGCGCTGGCCCCGGGCTCTCCTCCCGGCCTGCTGGGCTTTTTTGGGTGGCACAGCCTGTGCCAAGGGGCGGCAAGGTGCCCGCAGGCCCCCGCTCTGGGGGAAAAGGAAAGTGTCCTGCCTGCATCCACAGTGCTGCCAGCTCAGCAGTGCAGCACCGCACTGGCTGACGCTCCCCATTGCTCCTACAGAAGTGCTTGGCAAGTCAGACACTGACGCCCAGAATCCACGGAACACCCCAAGAATTATCTGCCCCCAGGATGTGCGCAGGTCCTGCATGATAGGCACGGTAGTGACACTGTTCACTGTGCCAACTTCCATGGTGCTGTGCTATGTTGGGTTCCGGTGGTGGAAGGGAAAGAAACGGTAAGTGTTTGCCCATCTCTACCCACCAGCTTCTTTAAAGGCTGCACACAGTCACGGAACATTCAGGGATCAGAGAGGTGGCAGTGCAGGTGTGGCCAGTCCATGGTTGTCCAAAGAATTCTGCTGAGGGTTCTGCTGCTGCCCAGAGCTTTCATTGGCCTCCTAATTGCTGGGCCTTGTCCTGGGGGGCCCGCTGGGGCTGCAGCCAGTGCTGGCTCCCACTGAGGCTGCCTGGCCAAGAGCAGCCCCAGGGGCTCAAGGAAGAGGCAGAGCAAGGTGGGGAGGAGAAAGAGCAGGGACGAGATTGCCCTTGAAAGGCAGAGGCGCTCTGGGGCCCGCTCCTGGCCAGGGAGCCTGCCCAGAGCCGTGCCCTGCTCGCCAGGGCCTTGAGGGGCAGCTGTGCAGCTGGGCCAAGCTGTGCCAGCAGCTCCAGCCGTGCTGGGGAGCCTTGCCAGCTCTGGGCCCTGCTGTGCAGGAGGCTCCCTGTGGGCCACTGGCAGCTGGGGCCTCAGCCGCCTCCTCTCTCCACAGTCGCGCTGCCGCCGCTCCAGCATCCCGGCCGAGAAGGCGTGCCTCTCCCTCGCCCCCAGAGAGCCCAGAGACCGTCGCCTTTGACAGCTCTCACACGAGGCCTCGGCAGCAGCAGTTGCCCAAGAAAGCAGAGCACCAGCCCTCCGTGCCTCCCCCACGGCCCCCCAGCCCGGCCTTGAAGCGGAAGCCTCCCGAGATCCCCCCACCTCCTCCCCTCCCGAGCCCGCCGCCCTGGTCCAACTAGGACTGCAACTGGGCCAGCCACGCAGGGCTTGGGCCACCAACAGCTTGGCCACCTGCCCTCCTCTACAATGAGCATGTGTTACCTACAGGCAACAGCCAGAGTCCGTTTTCATACTCTTGGACCTTCAACAGGAAGGGGGGAAGATTCTTCCCATGCCCTTTCTCATCCTTTACCTCTTTGATTTTCAGACAGTTGGGAGCTGGTTGCATCTCTTAAAGACTTTATTAGCACTGCATGTTTTGCCTTACCATTCAAGGGAAAAAAAATAAAAATATTCTTCATTTTGGATTTCATTTTAAGTGTGATTGGGCCATTCACATTTTGAGCATTTAATTTCTCATGGTACTTCTTCCCTTTTTCCTTAGTATCCATAAAAAGTTCATCTGGACATAAAAATCACCAGCATTACTGAGATTTACCTCCAAGCCCAGATAGGGAATCTAGCACCAAATATTCTCCCTGTGTACTGCACAACAAGAAATATTCAGAAGAATATTCACTGGCAGCTGAGGCTCGTGGAACTCCCAGAATACTGAGCCTGCAGAGGAGGCAGACAGCCCTGGCAGTGGTTGAGGGGACTTCTCATCACAGACTCCTCTGAAAGTGTGTCACTCCAGGAGGAGAAAGCATTTAAACCTGTGCCTTACCTTCCTCCTGTGCTAAAATGTAAGGTTCCTCCTGAGCTACAAACAATTCTCCATTCCTCAACAAAGCTACTCATGTTCTTGACTTATCTTAAAGAGCAAAAGCAAATGTGGTCAGAAATTTTGCATCAAAGCCTGTTTGCAGAGAAATGCCACCATATGTGAGAAAATAGTTCTTAGCATCAATTCACTCAAAAGAAAGCCAACCCTGAATTGAGCAGTGCTTTAAATGAACTTGAATTCTCTTTATTCACCTATCAGCTGGATTGGTTTGCTCCTTTTTTGTGCTAGAGAGAACATTAGAACAATTTGCTCTTGACAGGACTCCTTGTATGGCTCCCACACTGGTGACTGCTCACCACGCCTTGCCTGGGCTCTTAATGCAGCCTGTTAGCAGCACCTGACTTTGCCACCCTGTTGAGCCCTTGGGCACGGCTGGTGCCACGGTCCCCTCCTGGCTCATGGCATGTCCCTGCTGCTGGAGGAGCCCTGCTGGTGCTGCTGCCTGCGTTCAACAACGCCGGTCCTACCCCCCAGCCAAAGACAGACTAAAGTCACTGCTTTGGGCAGCTCGTGTGAACGAGTTTAACACTTACTCACCTCTATCCCAGACCTCTTAAAACCCACCCAGCAAGATCATAAAGTCACCTCATCTACAGAGATGAGCAGGTCTGAGCGAACGGAAGGTCGGCTTTCACGCACATTGGGGTTTTAATTTAGTGGAAGCACTCACTCGGTTCACAAGCCTGACTTGTCAAAGCGGATTGTGCGATGCTATTGTGTTGCTTGTGTTAAAGAGAAACCCGAAGGGAGAAATGAATTATGAAATGAGAAACACTCTTGGGGCGCAGACTTGGCAGATAAACGGAGCAGGGTAGCACCCGGCCGCTTTGCCGGAATCCCTGTTCGTGCGGGACAAAGGCGGACGCGGCTCCGCTGCGGGGCGAGCCGGGCGCTCGGCGAGCGGCGCTGGAGCGGCGGCGGCCCCGCCCCGCCCGTCCCGCCCCGCCGCGGGCCGGGGCCGAGCGCTCGGCCGGGCGGGAGCTCAGGATGCTCGGGCAGCGCCGCGGGCCGGGCGGGCGCGATGGAGCCGCCTGAGGGCTGGGACCCCTACGGGCGGCCGGCCCGGCGCACGCAGTGGCTGGTCAGCGCCCTCGCCTACCACTACGGGCTGGACCGCGGCGTGGAGAACGAGATCGTCGTGCTGGCCACCGGCCTGGACCAGTACCTGCAGGAGATTTTCCACCACTTGGACTGCGACGGTTCGGGCCGCATCCCCGGCGAGGACTTCCGCACGCTGTGCCAGGTGCTGGGGCTGGAGGAGGCGGCGGAGCCCGAGGAGTGCGCGGGGCTGTGGGACGGGCTCTCGGCCGAGCTCACCTTCCGCCAGTTCCACGCGCGGCTCTGCGGCCACTTCAGCACCCGCGCGGGGCCGCGGCTGCCGCTGGGCCGGGAGAGCGAGCACATCGAGACCCAGATCCGCCTGCGCAGCCCCCGCCGCCGCCGCCGCACCGACCCCGCCGGGCGCGGAGCCGCGGGCAGCGCCGAGCGGCGGCCGCCGGGGCCCCGCTCCCGAGAGTGCTGCGAGGAGATCGCGGCGCTGGAGCAGGCCGAGGACCGCATCGCCAGGCTGGAGGAGGAGAACGGCAGCCTGCGGGAGCTGGTGGAGGACATGCGCGCCGCCCTGCAGAGCAGCGATGCGCGGTGCCTGGCGCTGCAGGTGAGTCCGGGCCGGCCTCTGCACCGGCCTCCCGGGGGCGGCTCGGCTGCCCCGAGTGCTTCAGGAGAGATGCCGCTCCCGGAGAGTCAGTTTATAACCCCTCCACTGCCGCACTGAGACCGAAGCTGCTCCTTCGTCCTCGGCATTACCTTTTTAGCAAAGTTCAGTTACAGAGAGGCCTTAAGGAGAAATACATGGCACCGGTGTACCATTCAATATAGCTGTGAGGAGCACTCTTGTTAAAAGTGTAGCGGAGTTCAGCTTGACAAACCCACGCGTACAATGCTGCTGCTTCTTCTACTGCACGTGCAGTCAGGATGTGCTGGTACCATATGCTGGATGTGCACTAGTGCAGGGTCTTTCCTGAAGGGAGAAAGAACTTTTGGATTCCCCCTTGCACAAGCACAAGCAGTGCCTTGGTCAGAAGTGCCTGTAAGAAATATTAGAAGGATGTTTTCCTCAGAGCGTGGTCACGAGGGTTCAGAGTTTGAGCCAGTGCTGCAGGCAGGCTGATGAATAGTCTGGGGCTCCTCTGCACAGCCCCATTAATTCCAGGGCTGGATTCTGCTGGTTCTGCTGGACTGGCTTGAGTGACACACATACATGCTTAACAGCAGTTAAATTCCTCTGGCATGAAATAGCTTGGAACAGGCAGAGCAGGGAAGGGCAGCAGGGACCCATTGTTCTGGCAGGTCTCACCAGGTGTGATTTGATACTAACACAGCCCTCCCAGAACTCTGCTCCACCTGTGACACTTCCACTTGCAGTAGATGACTGTTGTCTTCACAATGTCCAGCAAGGCAGGTCAGAGACACTTTTACCATTTTCATCTAAAAAAGGGAAAGGAAATCAGCAGCAAACACGAAGTCACCAGTCAGTAGTCCCAGGAAGAATGAAAATGACAAAGAGGAGAGCTCCAGAACACCCCTAGCTGCTCCCTGCTCTCTTCTTCTGCACAAAACTTGATTGGAAATATCTTTTTCAGCAGACTGCCTCACTCCTGAGTATAGACATAGTAACGACATGAAAGCTACACAGAAACTCGTGCAATAACATGATAAGTGTGTAGTTTGAAAATTAAATGCATAGCTAGGTATTAAAAATTACTTTCCAGAGATTGTTTCCTTGTCTCTGTATTTGGCAAAGGTCAAGTAGCTTTAGTTGCTGATCGACTCTGTGTGATTGAAAAAAACCAAAGCAACAAAGCACAATCCAGCCATTTTCAGTCTTCATTAAAACACATCAGTTTCTCCCTGCTTTGTGCTCCTGGTCATTACAGGTGGGACTGCGGAAGAGCCATGCCAGCCATACAGGAGAAGGACCCTGCTTCATAGGGAGGAAGAGACCATTAACACAGAAGCACTCCCAGACCAAGTGCCTCCAAAATGTCCTGGAGGAAATGGAGCTCATGCAGAGCTCCAGGGATGGGCAGATTGAAGAAGCCATCAGGTTCAGTCAGGAGCTGGAGAAGGAGCTGAAGAGCTCTCAGGAAGCTCTGGTCAGCCTGGAAGATTGCAACCATAACCTGAGGAGGGAGCAGGCAGAGATGAGGAGGAAGGTGGGAGAGGCCAGACACGCTGTCCTCAACAGTCTTGGCAAAGTGAAGGAGCTGGAAGCGAGAGCTAAGGAGGTGCCACATCTGCAAATACACATCCAGCAGCTGGAATCACAACTGCAGCACTACAGGTAGGTTGGAGTCTGACAAAAAGTGCCTATAAAATCACAGTGTTGGGGCACAAGTGAGTTGGAGAATCTCGGGTGGGGGCTTATTAGACGTCTCCAAAACACCTTGTAAAATCTGGCCAGAGGGAAATTAAAAGCTGCTCATCCATTTTCCTTATGGGGGTCTTTAGGAGATCTGGGAGTCTTCCAGGCCAAAGTCAGGGTGCGGATCTACAGAGAGCTGAAGTTACTCCTCAGACACACAACAACAGAACTCAGCATGGTAGTGCTTCAGGAAAGCCCCAACACAAACTGCTGACAGTCCTTCAGAAACCATTTCCAACACACTTACTTTTCTTGCTGCCTTTCCTGGTCCTTAGGTGCCATCCCAAGCCAGCTGTAATCAGATGGCTGACTCTCCATTCTGTATAAAAGCTCTTCAGCCTGTCCTAGGAACTGGGGAAAAGCACACCAGGACAACTTCTGGCCAGTGGTTTGAAACTTGCTGTGACTTCATTGCTTCTCCACTGAGAGAACAGGTAATAGAGGAGAGAAGCTGAAACGTTCCTAAACCCACAAAATAACAGAGTGGGAGACTCAAACAAAAAACACCAGCCAACTGAACCCCAGTTTTGTAATAGCATAAACAAACCCTTCCAGAAGTCAGAAAGTTGGTCACAAATTTAATAGTACACTGCTTCTGTTGCTTTTTATCTCAGACCAAACTTGGACTCACCGGTTGGTATTAAGTGTTAGTCATTTCTGCCCAAGTTTTAGACTGACCTATGGAATAAAATCTAGTTTATATTTTCACTGACTCAAAGCAAAACCAGTATTTCTAGACATATTTTTGCTTACACTACTAAATCTAGTATTTTAATAAATTGCATCTTCTGAAGTCCTTGCCTCTTCCTAAACTCACACTTCCTCTGTTTGCTTATAAGAAGAATTCATCGTGAGTTATTTGTGGCATCCTAGATGTTGTAGTGTTTTATGAAGTGAGGAAATTCTAAAAATAACCATTTTTACCCAGTGTCTTTCTGTCAGCATTGTGTATAGTAATACAGGCATGGTTGCAGAAGATCAAAGAAAATAGAAGCATTTCTTTAAACATCTAAAGGATTTAAAAACCACTGCGAGGGCACGTAACGTTCAAGGTGACTGTCAGGGGTCTCTGGATGAATGACACAACTCCTGGTGCTAAAAGGGATCACACAGCTTGTCAGGGCTCTCACCTTCTCCTTGGCATGAGCACCAAAGATTTAAGATGGGTTCTTGTCCTGTGGAATTGCTTTTCCAAAGTACAATGAAGGATAAAAAAGATCACCTTGAAACAGATGAAAGGCAATAAACAATGTCCACTGGCCTTGCAGAGCAGGAACTGCATGGCTTACATCAAAACAAAGACTGTGAGTTTAGAAATGTAAATTATATGTTCCTTGTAAGATAACCTTCATTTGTAATACTTATTTTTAAATTGCATGTTAATTTAAAGTGAGTATCAAGCTCAGGAATGGTGCTGGACTGACCATTTGGGAACTACACCCCTTTTTTAGCCCTGTAGCACATCTAGCAGAGGCCCAGGCCAGCTTCCCCCCTTTGAGATTCTCTGTTGGCCACAAAGCACCTGCACCTCCCCATCCAGTGGAACAGCTCTCGGTGTAAACAGTTTAACTTAGAGGTGCATCATGATAATTGCCCAGGGACTTGCATGCCTGGGCTCATATTCCATAACCCATGGAATCCCATCACTCCACGTGTTCCCAGAGTGGCACAGAGGTGGTGAATAAGCAGTGCAGAGCTGTGTGTTAGGCTGGGGAAAGGGTTCAGCAGCAGCTCTGCCCCACACAGCCTTGGCTGTCCCAGCTTGTCCCACTCCCTCTGCTCGCTCTCACTGGTGCTCAGGCAGCCCAAACACCTCCTGCTCCGAGAGAATCACCTTCTCCTGACGTGCAGGAGCCCACATCCATGGGTGTGGCTCGGGTGAGCTGCTGGGAGTGCTTGGTGAGGGGAAGAGATGGGTTGGCTGAGGCGTGGAGAGGGAGGGACAGCTGGGAATCCACAGGGTTCTGTCTGTCACTTGGCAAGAGTGTCACTTGTCCTGTTGGTTTAAGTCAGGTTGTGTTTCAGTTTGTGTCACTTGTCCTGTTGGTTAAGTCAGGTTGTGTTTCAGTTGCTGTTACCTGTACTGTTGAAGTCTGCCTGTGTTTCAGTCACCTTTCCAGTGAGCAGTTTTCTCCCCTGCCAGCTGCCACACAGAGTTTGTGAGCAGGGTCTGGATTTGGCAAGAGCTAATGCTACAAGGTAGGGCTGGAGAGGAATGGGGGGGATTAGGGTGTTCTGCAGAAGGCACTGGCAATTGCAGATATCTCTCCTGAGAATTCACCCTTACTGGCTTGCTGAGCCACAGGTTTCCTCCAGCTCAAGTCCAATTTCTTCCAGAGAGGATCATATTCAAGAATGAGTCCAATCTATGAGCTTTACACACTGCTCCTGTTTATAGATTCATATTGATCAAGGAAATGCTTTCTTCTTTTAGGTTCAGATTTTAAAAGCTCTTTTAGCATCTAAATCCCTCTTCTAGACCGTCATCTGAGACCTACTTGCAATCACTTAGATCTGAAATCCCAACCATCACCTTAAGTTATAATCCCTAATGCAGGAAACCACAGTTTGCATTTAGTCAAGAAAGTGTTTAAGTACCTGCGAGTGATTAAATGTTGTCCTAAACTGGAGTGTGTAATTATAATCACCTATTCTTGATTTCACATTCCAGATTCATATTCCTGCAATCTGTATGACTTAAACATGAACTTTTTCTGAGTGCACAGGTTCCTGTGCCAGGGTTTGAACTGCCCCTGTCAGATCACTGCCTTCCTAAACCAGCCTAGTTGGCCAAATTCTTTTCTTCAGGTGCCCATCCTGATCTTCCTACTCTGATGAATGTCTCAGGTTTCTGTCTGGACTATCTTTCCGCTTTTCTTTTCAAATCCCTGTCAAGTTAGTGAGTCAGCTCAGCTTTAAAGGTAGATCTCAATAAATTCCTTCCTGAAGAGCTTGAGTTCAGTTCATTTCAGAGGAAAAAGACATCACAAGAAATTGTATACTTACCATGGGTATTGTATCAAAAGGGTGTAATTGCCAGTGCCTGATGACAGGAGAGTTTAGGAAGTCAGGCAAGTCCCATTTTTATGCAGTGCCCAGGGAGTTATTCCCAGAGGACAAATCATTAACCACTATTCCCTAAACTCCCTTTTTGTCCCCCACTAAGTTCTGCTGCAGCACAAGGTGACACCATCCATGTATTGTAATAAAATCTCATTATTTCTAAGCATTATTTCTAAAAATACCACACATTAAAATATTACTACAGTAAAAAAATCACATCTGCTGCTTCTTTCACTCATTGAGCCATTTGCCCTGTCAGAAAAGGAAATTGGATTGGTTTGACATGAATTGTTCTTGCCAAATATGAGTTGGCTTTGTTTTCTATGCTAGATTGGAGGTGGCTTAGAAATTGATTACCTAATAAAGTGTCCATATTCTTTTTTCTCTTTAGCCGCACTGGAGGGAATAAAATGATTTAACAAACATGGTTTTGATCCCAGTGTAAGGAATAAAAGGAAAGGTCATTTAGAATTGAAATAAACTTCATAATATAGATGTTGACAGTTGGTTTATGTTGCTGCATTCGTCAGCAGCACAGTAATTACATAGGTCAGTGAAAGAGGTCATAAAATACCAAAAATGCTTCCCATATGCATGGTCTGTCTCCCAAATTACTTAATTATCCATCAGCATTTCTATGTGTTAATGAGTAGGAATCCTTTTGGCATGGAATGCAGAGAAGTTTGTTTCAGCCTCTCATATTTTCCTGTAAATTTGATGATTGAGGCCTCTAGTATAATTTTCTCTATTTATTTCATCAGTGTCAATTTTTCAAAAAAGTTATGCTTTAGGTTATTTTATACTGGAAGCAATTCAGTTTTTGTTCTCTTTCAAGAGGCAGTGCCCTGATCTTTTCAATAATTTCTCAGGTTATCATTCACTCTGTAAAATATAACAAGATGGACCAAACAAGTCCAAATCAATAATCCAAGAACAGGAGAGAAATAGGGAAATATTCCATACAGGATCAGCTCAATTAAGTGTAGGGAAAAAAAAGCCATAGGAAGGAAACATTCATACACAATAAAAGGTGTCTATAGTAGGTTATTTCCAGTCAGAATGATAATGGTTTCTATTTAAGCAGCCTAGAACTGTTCTTCTAGTTAAAAAAATAGACAGTAAAGAAAATTAGGACAATTTTTGATTGACTATTGTCATCAATACCAATCAATACCAGCTCCTTGCTGTTGGCAGGTGAGGGACATCTTGGCAATTTGTTCCAGGTGGCACCAAATTTGAGAGGAGGCTGTGGTGTGCATGTGCTGGACAGATGTGCAGGTGAGAAAGAAATCCTTGGACAGGAGCAGGGAGCAGGGACTGATGGCACTCAGGAACTGAGCTCAGAGGGTGAAATGAAATGTTAAATTTGCAGAGCCTCATCTGTGAAAACACTCAGATTCTTCTGGACGAACTGATGTCATTTTATTTTCTAACTTTGCCTTGAGCTGATATTGTTTTCTACTGAAGAGTGTAAGAAGTTTTGTATTTCAGAGAAGTCTGCCAAAAACCACAGAGCTTCAAGGTTTGGAAGAAGTTAGCTGTAGCAGGTGAATATATTCCCATCACACAAAGCTTGGACTACTTGTCATCAAAGAATCCTAAGCTAAGTAAGCAAACCAGATTACTCTCATTGGGAACACTTTAAAGCAGCATTTTGATTTCACAAAAGAGGATAATAGAAGGTATTGTTATTTATGGTAGAGAGAACTGTGCAGAGCAATTTAAATAGATTAATTTGGCAGAGTGAAAACGTATAACATCTCTTTCTGTGGAAGGGCTACTTTTATTTCAAATGCAAGAGTCTTTCAAAGCTTCCACATTAATAATAGCAAAGCCTTGACTTCAGATCCAGTCAC